CTTGTGAATGTGGAAATCTAAGCTCTCCATTCAGCCTTTGCTGGCAGGGACAGGGGCAGCACCACAGTTTTTTCTGTGATAATTTGGTGGGAGTTACTGTCTAGAAAGATTTCTTTCTTTCTAGGCTGACCATTTCCTGGTCCTTTGGCTTTTCTTGTGGCTTTGGTTGTTTATGTCATAGATGTTTCTAGTGTGTCAATTTCTCCAGAACCCAGTCTAGGATATATGAGGCAAAAAGAAAATCCAGAGAACCCAATGCTGTGTTTTCCTCGGGTCTCCTAGCCAGTCTGCCTTCTTTTCTTCACCTTTTAGAGTCTTCTTATGTTTGTTTCACATATAGCGTCCAGGATTTTTAGGTGTACTTAGCAGGAAGAATAGGGAAAAGTACACCTATTCCATATTTCCAGCAGCAGAAGTCATTAATGCATTAATGATAATCACTCAATGGCCAGACAACTTTCTTCATGAAGGAAAAGAAAATATTGTTATTTCTTAAAGTGTGCAAAAAAATTAGTCTTAAAGATTTTTTAAATTAAGTCTTTCAAGTATGTTGTCCTCCTTAAATGAGAAATATAGAATAAGCAATAGGATAATTTTGCAGCCTATCAATATAAACATTTGCTTATGAGGGATATTTGGTCATCTTTTATCAATTTGTCCTTTATGTTCTTAATTAGAAAGTTAAAAATTATATGTTAGAGTAAAATATGTTGTATTTTTTCCTGACAAACTAATATGCTTCTCTTACTTAATATTAAGAATTATACGATTCATCATATTTCTATATTTCCTTCCCAGCCCACTCAAACCTAAATCTTGCTCTTAATTTCAATTTGTTTGCACATCTTAGGTCTTTCTGCCATTACTACTACTTTATTACCCTTGATTATACAGCTCTTGGACTTTGCTTTATGACTCTTATGTGCCTGTAATGCTTTCAAAATAAACCATCTGAAATATATTTTGCAAACAAGAAGTAGAAGCAATAGGCTTTCTGAATTTTATTTAGGAAGGACTTACAAGAGGCAATATGATCAAAAGGGTGTTCTAGGAGACAGAACTATATTCATAGAGGGAGTACCTTGTATTAATTTGCATTGCTTTTTTTTTCTTTCTTTAATGTGGCTAAGAGTTGGGGAAATAGATCCTCCCCTATTTAATTCCCTGACAGGTATTATTATTACAGATATATAGAAGTACATTAATAGTTTTATCCATTCATTCATTTATTTGATAAATATTTATCGAATGCCTGCCAAACACTGTCCTAGATGCCGGGGGTGCAGTAGTCTTATACTGCCCTGCAGGTTCCATTCTAGCAAATGAAAGGAGCACCTTATCTGTGCTGTCAAGGATAAGGCAAGGTCATCACTTACAATACTGCACAGGAATTAAAAATGGCATCCAACCAAAAAGAATAAAACAGGAAAGATTAGACTAAGAGAAAATATAAAAACACAAAATTCCCCCTTTAATTTCATAAATTCAAGTTAATAGAAATCATTCAATTATTAGTGGTGTCTCACTATATGTTTTAGCTGCAAGCTTAAAATAATTAAAATGAATTTAAGATAATTTGAAAATTATTTTTCTAGATTTTTGTAAACTTACATGTTTACTATTTCTTTGGGAGGTTATTATTACATAGTGGAAAGAATCAGAATTGGACATAAGTCTCTGTTCAATTACCAGTGTGTTACCCTAGGGAGTTGTTTAACTCCTTTGAGCCTGACTTTCTGTCAGTCAAATTAAAGTAGAATACTTTACATCATTGGGAGAATTAAACAATGTGCCAAATTTAGCTTACTTAGCATGTTGTTTGGCTCATCAAAATCACACGTAAATCTGTTTCTCTTCTTCCTCCAGCCCTTTTACTGTATGTTTATAACCCCCTTGGTCCACATATAAATTTAACAGGTTTTTAATACTTTCAACCAACATAAAATTGAAAAGAGCTTAGGACTTTGCTTCCTGCAATTATCTTTTGACAATGTCAGTTTATGGAAGGCTATAATGAAATATTATTTTAAATGTTTTATACTATTTTAAGAAAAGAATTTCTCATGTGAGAAAGAAAGGAAGAAACTGCTAAGAAATCTATTAATCTAGTAGAAGTTATTCCATATGCCCAACATTTTCCAAAGAATAACTTTTGCAGCCTTACATGTGGCTTTAAGTAATACACAGCACCACCTACAAACAATGAAATCCTCAATCTTAGAGTCTTTTAACTCTTATTTATATTTTTGTTTCAACATAATAACATTTTTTGTTATTTTCTTGTAATTTAAAAAAGAATATGAAAATAATAATAAATTAGAAAAAGAAAACTGAAATAAACCCATTATCTCATTACCTAGGAAGAACATGCTTTGCAATATGATTCAATTCTATGTTTATGGTACCATGAAAAATGACATAAAAACCTCCTGATGCAACATAATCTAATGAGTTTCACAGTTTTGTTCTTATAAATTACTCAGTGAAAAAATAGGGTAAAATATAATTCATTATAAAAAATTTTGTGGGCCATGGGGGTGTAACAGAATGGTGGGGTCCAGATATACAAAACTCTGATGATACAGTTTAATCCAAGGATAGTATTTAGCATAGTTCAAAGAATGGATTCAGTAGTCTTCAGGCAGTCATGCCAGGAATATTATTTGTTTTTGACTTGTATTTGATGAGTATTAGTAAGTCTCAGAGAACAGCATTTGAGGTTAGGCCCTCTGACAGTTTCTGAAGAACAGATATTTTATGTCTCCAATTAAAGGATGATCCACACACCTAAAGCCATTAGAGAAGCTGGGGATTCTCTGGGGAATTCCAGCCCACGATGGCTTAGTGGATTGATAATGAGATACAGAACCTCAGGCCTTTTGATCACAAGGTCACTTGCAAGCTAGGATTGGGGTAACCAAAAGTCATTATTGATCAATACCTTACAGGAGCCAAAATGAATTGCTTAGCTCAGTTCAGTTTTTATTACCATTTGAGAAACATACGCTATCAGTTATAGATCCAATGAGTGACCCTTTACCACTAAAGTTCATTTGTCCTAAAAGGGATCAAAATGTTTTTTTCAAACCAGAGAAGCCAAAAGATCTATGTGTGTCACATTGTTCTGGTTATTTCTTAAGGTTTCAGGATGGTCTCTTCATCTACTTTTACTAAATCTAAGAAGATGGATTTTAAATTGTATACTTAACAGAAACATTTTGCTTGGATTTTTCTAAATACTCTTCTGCTCTAAGCCAAAGACAGTTACTTGTGTCTTTTCCAGATAAGGAAGCTGTAATGTCTTTTTCTTAGTACTGAAAAACCATGTTAGAGTTGTGAAAATTATGCAGTTTCATTGCTCTTTTTGGTAACACATTGCTGCCTGGCTTGTCTGTGCTGGACCTCTTTGATCTTTTACTTATTCAGACTTTGTGGGATTGTTCTGTGGTATATCCAAGAAACAGATGCTTCGCACTCCATATGAAAGTCAACTGGAGTTTCGGCTGATGAATGTTGGTCGTAGTTTAAATAACCTCATATTATATACTCTCTAATATGTCAACAAGATGATTATGTAAGTGAATGGCAAAGATTAAGGGGAGAAAAAAGTATTAAGACCAAAAAGTCAGTGGTTCAGAGAAAAAATAGGTCTTGTTTCAAATCCTGGTGTCCTGTATCTGGGACTAGAGACAAGACTATATACTTATAGTAATACAAAACCAAATAGTCATGAGGTTTCCAATTTTCCAATTCTGAAAGAAAACATTCCATGACTGAATATTTAGCAGGAACCTAATGCCTGGCACAGAAGTTGACAGAAAGATTAATTACACATACATCGAGCCTTCAGATAACATAATAGACCATAAGCAAATTGAGGGCCAAGAATATTCTTGCTTTATAAACTCAGTACTTAAGCAAGTATCTTGCTGAAGCTCACTGAAGGTTTGGGAAATTACTGAATGAATGAAGGAAGGAAGGTCTGGATGGGTGAACTGTTCTAACTTGTTATTTACATGTCCAAAGGGTCTGCTATGGAATATTTTACAGATGAGAGAGCTTGATGGAAGCTTGAGAATCAGAAATTTGCTGGAGTAGTGAAATCATAAATTCCATGAAGCATCTCAAGTGGGAAAACAACCATAGAAAAGTCTTTGAGTAATTTAGTTCTCTACTATCTGCAGGGGGTGTACTTTTGTACTGCAATATAAATACAAAGCCTTATATATGATCCATGTTTAACTTATTTTCATGTGACTCCACTTTTTCTTCATCCATTCCTTAGTGGTAAAATACTAATTACCTCCAACCACTAGAATATCAGGATTAGAAAATAGAAGAACTAAATTTCTGATAATCATTTCATTACTTGGTTCTGATAGACATTTTAAGAGCAAAATTTAAAGTGAATTTTTTGTATACTGACATAATTCAGTAATTTATGCTTTTCTTTATCATCATCACTGAGATTAACTTCAAATAATGCTACTGCAGCTGAAGTGTATATACAAAAATAGGGGTATATATTTTTTTCATAATTCAGCCTGTGCTGCATGAAAGGACAAAGACACCATAGATGAGTTTTTGTTTGTGTGCATGTATATACAGCCTTGAACAAAATGTGGCTCTCTGGGTGGGGCACAGTGGAAAGGAAGTGTTACAAAATTTTTTCTCAATTTCCTTGTAGAGTAGAACAAAATGTTAAACTCCTTCATTCAGCCTATGCAAACAAAATTCCATCATCAATGTGAAATTTCTCTTCAAAGTCATCAACACATGAAACATGAGTGAACCTAGGAAAGGAAAATTACTTCATGTTTTTCCCATGGGTTTTCCTGATAATAATAACTGTGTTTTCCCATTTACCCCTAGCTTCATCAGACACCCTTCACTGCTTCCACAGATCATCCTACCAGGGGTCACAGATCACACAAAACCTACAGAAACAGGAAATCAAACTTCCTGAGTCCACTACAAAACACAGAAACCTGCTTCCTCTACACATCTCAAACTGGCAGAGCTCTGTCTTAGCAGATCCAGTGTGGAAGCAGCTGTCAAAGAAGCCAGAAGGATCTTTTCCCCTAATTTCACATAGCTTTCTTGCTTCAAGCTGCTGAGATGAAAGGAGCAAGGCTGTTTATCCTGCTTTCTAGTTTATGGAGTGGGGGCTTTGGGCTAAAGGACACTACACATACTTGGACTATACCTGAGGATGAGAACTCCCAGAAGAATGTGACCTCTACTTCGGTTCCTCTAAGCAGAATACAAAGTCGCCAGATGCTGCCGACCACTCAGACCACATCTGCTGAGATGGCCACAGCTCCTGAGGCCAGCACCTCTGAAGAGGGTCTTCTGAAATCAACACTGCTTCCCACGGAGACAAGCACATCTCCCAAGGCTGTGAGAAACCAAACTCTCACGCCCACAGAGAAGCCAGAAAGGGTGCTGAAGTTACAAACTCCTGCCCTCCTGATCAGCTCTAGCATCACGTTCAGTCCTAAAGCAGAGTCCGTGGTCCTTCCCAACTCCACACTGAAATTTCTTCAGAGCTTCGCCAGAAAGTCGAATGAACAAACCATTTCTCTAAACTCAGTTGGAGGTGTGGGAAATCGATCCCCCCGGGAAACATACCTCAGCAGAGGTGACAGCAGTGGCAGCCAAAGAACCAGCTATCAAAAACCAAGTTTTGAAACAACTAGAGGAAAGTAAGGACCGTTCTTTTTTTCTTCTTTCTAACTATAAGGTTTATAAGATCACAGGCTAACAATTAAACTAACTCAGTCCCAGAAAACGATTTCATGTTCAAGAAGAAACCGGGTCATATTTCAGTTAGGTCAGGTAATTAAGTATTACCTTATCTAACAGGGAAAAGATGAATAAACAAAAGGCAGCAATTTGTTGTAATTGAAGTGGCTGAAGTCACTAATAGAGGTGCTTTAACTGGGGATAGTCACTAGCAATGTACCACCACAGTGACTGTTAATTTAATTAATTCAACTCAAGGGTTTGTTGGTTGTGCTCAGAACTGGGTTGGAAACCTGGCTCCAGTGCTATCTAGATCCATGACTTTGTGCAAGTCAATTGATCTCCCTGAATCTCAGTTTCTTCATTCGTAAAATACAGATATGATACAGTGAGTACCGATAAAAATACCAACTTTGCAGGGTTATCATGCAAGATTCGAATTAATGAACTGTGCCTAGATGCATGCTTCTCACAGAATAGATGCTCAACAAACCATATTTTACTAGTACTGTTACATTGAGTTATGCCATCATCAGGAATGTGTTGAATAGAAAAGACAATTTTTCAAATTGATTTTGATTTAAAATTAGAGAAAATTCAATCTGAACTGAAGCAAAATAATAACGCTTATAAGAGTATCATTAAAGACTTTCAAGAGGACAAAAAAAAAAACCCAACAACAACAAAACAAAAACAAGGAAAAAAACCTGAGAAAAATGCAAGTCAGCGTTTTATTCATTTAATGTTCAAAGTTATTTGCATGTTTGGAATACTAAAGGTTTAGTATTATGAAGCTGAAAGCTGTGCCTTTTACCGGTAATAAAATAGTTTCAAGACACCAAATAATGCCTTGGGAGCTTGAGTTAAACACCTGACTAACTATATAAAATAATTTATGTTAATAATAGCAACTTGCACCTGCTATGTGCAAGATGGTGTGTTAACACTGTTGTTCACATAAAGAGGAGGGGACACTGGGAACAATATAAGCCAATAGAGTCATATTTATGTATTATTTGTTATTCAAATCCATTTTTCACTGTACTTCAAAGGATATAGAATTTTTTAATATGAAAGTGAATCTGATTTTAACTAAAAGCTTCTTAACTTGGTGGAATTTGGAACAATACAGTAAAAGAAATCTACAAATTGTAAAATTTGGGTAGACTTTGTCTATAACAGATGTTTTAACAGATATAAATTAAACTTTCTCATGTTTAGGAACAATAGAATGTGGTTTGTTAAATAATAGTAACAAATATCATTGAGAGCCTTTTCTAAGTCACTGGCAAGATCATTTCTATTAATCATATTTTGTTAGACTCCACAATTTTTAAACCCAATTATATAGAACTCTTAGGCATTCACAGGAAATGATCTGCACTGTTTAGTGATGCTGTCATCAAGAGATTTTTCAATAGAACAGTAAATATGACCAAAAGAAGAGGATACTTTAAATTAAAATATCACTTAAATTTTACAGAGCATATAGAAAGTGGCATATGGTTGTTTCAAAATCAGAACTAGTGATTGATAATCTGATGAATATACTAGTTTTTAAGTAAATGCCAATTGTTTTATCCAAAGTCCTCACTTTCAAAGCTATGAACCCTTATTTATTTGATGATTGTTTATATATTGCCTTGCCTATTATGTGCCTAACACTGTGCTCATCTCTGGGGTTACATAGAATTTTTTAAATAAGAATAATTCCTACTTCCAAGGAATCTGTCATTTAAAAAGTATGCGCTGGCATATCTATCAGATTTTTCAAATTTCAATATGTCTTAGAAGGACATTCAAGGTGTAACTTGATGAACAGAGCTTCATCCGATGGATTTTCCAATGAAAATAATTTTAAATTATTTATAGAGAAAGTACCAATGGTACTTAGAGACTCTACAACCTGAGGTCCTGGAGATCTGAGGTTTTCTTTTAGGAACCCTTTCCATTAAGTCCCAACTTCTTACATATTCGGCCATGCAACTGATAATGGTATTAGAGAAAACTTAGGTCCATCTCATATGGACACAGTGCTGATGCAAAGAAACCTTGATAAGGTCAAAAGAGGTCTTTTATATTTTTATTTGATTAGCAAATAATAATAGCAAACACTTTGTGGAATTTGTTCCTAGTACTGTACTGGATTCTGAGTAAATATATCTGTGTACCTATATTTTCAATTATTTCATCACCACCATATTTCCATGATGATTCTGTTATTATTTCATTACAGAGAGGTTAAGAAACTTAACCAAGGTCACTCAGCTAGTAAGTCTCAAGGTAGAAATTCCAACTCTGGCTGGCTGGCTTCAGAGACGTAGCTCTCAGTCCCTCTGTTACATTCCTTCAGCAAATACAGTCTGTTACCCCAATTGGGAAAAGAAGACTGACCAGTTTATTTCCCTGTCTCGGAGCCTTCAGAGGCTATTCTTTACCTCTAGCATAAAATCTAGGCTTCATACCAAGTTCGTCACACAACACCATCCTTGACCAGGCTCCTGCCTACCTCTCCAGCCTCAGCTTCTGTGACTTTCTGGCAGTTAAAATGTGTAGTGCTCTAGTCCATTACACACCATTTGTTAAATTTATCTTTGTTCCCTGTTTGTCCCCCTGGTGGACATGGTCTTCCTTTCCCATCACCTACTTCTTTGACACCTAATAATACTTCCAGGACGCCTTCTCAGGCTAACTTAGGTGGCCCCACTAACTGTTCACATAGCTCTCTTTGAATCTGTCTATCAGCACACTTACAACAGTGCATTGTAATGATAGAGAACTTGTGATTTCCTTATGTACAGGTACACATTTTCAGTGCTAGTAAAGCTTTAGGCTTACAGTGGGTACATGATATTTAACAAACTAAATGTAAAATCTATGGACCAATATGAAAATACAAAGAAGAATCCTCCCCGAAGAAAAATTCTTGTTTCTTTATGATAAAACCTGGTTGATTTGGGATAAACTCACCTTAGGTTTTGGGAGTTTTTTCCCCTACTACTCTTGGCATTTTTATAGTGATTCTAAGTAAGAGGAATAATACTTATGTCAATAAGTGACTGATTATTGGATGGATCTGGAGTTCAAAACAGAGATCAAGGCTAGAGAGACAAATTTGGGAGATATGGTATCTATAGAAGTATGGATGCTCAGTTGAAGAGGGTTTTTTGTTGTTGTTGTTTTGTTTTTGTAAATAAGGGAGGGGAGAGAAAGCACACATCAGGGCTAGACCAGAAAGTTTCACTTTTTGTTGTATTTTAGTTTGTATACAGAATGGTCATAAATAAAATAAAATGTTAATGAAAAGGGTCAGAAGGGACATAAAAGTTGAATATGAAACAAGATGAATATTTTATTTGCTGAGTTTAATGACTTGATTTCTTTTAGAATTTCATTTGTTCTTTCTATCATCTACATACTTGGTTTATGAACAAATAGGAGGCTTGAATTAAATGAATTATGATTTCTAATATAATGTCTAAAATGACAAGTTCTACTATAATTCTTTTATTGGACCAAAGTCTTTTATTAGACCACTTGTAAATAGAAACTGTAAATACTATCATTTTAAAAATTAATGGTTTAAAATTACAAAAACAAACCATTGAATTAATTCAGTGGCCTATTATAATATGCATTTTTTCCTGCTTATTTCTGTGAATTGTGAGTAGGTTTTAGATGTGAAAAATCTGGTCAGTTAAACTCATGCTATCTTAGTCCATTCAGGCTGTTATAGCAAAATGACAGACTGGACACCTTATAGACAACAGAAATTTATTTCTCACAGTTCCAGAAGCTGGAAGCCCAGGAGCAGGCTGCCAGCATGGTCAGTGAAGCCCTTTTTCAGGTTCCTGGCTTCACACTGTATCCCCACGTGGAGTGGAGAGGGGAGGGGTTCTCTCTAGGGCATCTTTTGTAAGGGTACTAATCCTTTCATGAGGGCACTACCCAAAGACCCCAATTGTCTCCCAAAGACCCCCTCTCTCAATACTATTATAATGGTTATTTGGATATCAACATAGGAACTTTTGGGCAAGGGCACAAACATTCAGCCTATATCATGTGTAGTTTGCAAAGTTCTTATCAAGACCTAATAACATCCAAAGGGATTATTCTCACATGCTGTAAAATTCTAAAACACATTATTATATTAAAGAGTATTTTTTATGTCCCTGAGAAATAAATGCATCTACTACATTACTGCCCGTAAAAACACTAAATAAAGTATATTCTGTACCTGAATTTTTTCATTAATAATTTCCTTCTATTTCTTTGATATTTCTACTCACTAAATTGCTGAACATATAAATACATACTATATTATACATACTGGAATTTAACAAGTGCTTATATAGTCCAGGTCATTAAATGACAAATGTTTATATTTCTACACCTGATATTTATTTAAATATGAAAATATTAATTTAAAATGTATTATTTGGGGGGAACGTTTAGAGTCAGTATCCAAGAACAAGTGATTTATGGAAGAATTATACATCACAGCATCTATTAGCCTGCCTTTCCAGAGGCTCTGTGGCCTGCACACTGGGAAAGTCTGACACCTACTGGAATAGAAACAGTTTACAATGTCCGTGAATATGATGAAGTCACAGTGTGGAGAAAGGAAACAGAAAAAAATTAAAAATTTTCAAAAATTAAATTAGGTAAAATAAAACAAATTAATGAAAAAAATTGTTTTAAAATAACTTTAAGAATTGCTACTGTTACATGTGTAATGCATGTTATATGTATCTAATTCAATATACCACTTGAAACGTACTATTGTTGGCTTTAAAACTTGGAAAATAGATTGGATCCCAAAAGCAAACCCCATGCATATCCTAGGATGGGGACACATTCAGCTCATTCTCCTAAAATTTTACACTGAGAATATTGTCTGTACACAGTAACTTGTGACTCTGAGGCACTGTACAGCACCTGTCATCAAAATACTCAGTGA